TGTCAGGCCTCACCTCCCCCTGTTGGATAGTGGCCAAGAACAGAGACCTGGCTAAGGAGACATAGATCTCTTTCTGACTCAGGCAGGCATAAACCCCTGGGGCATCTGCTCATTGGGTTGAACTGGGTCACAGCCCCAGCCCCACTGGGGTTACCAGTGACTGGGTGTGACAGAGGTGCAAGGTGAGGAAGGCGGCATCAGCCTTCCCATACTAATTTATTTGCTAGGTTGGTCCTCCTGACCACATGGAGCACTGGAGCCAGTCATACCTGAACTGCCAGCCAGACCCCTGATATCTATTTGCCAGAGACATTTTGAACTCCACCACCTGAGACCAGTGCTGATTGGGACAATTGATTTGGATCTCTTGAACCAGGCCAATCACCTGAAAACTATCCAAAGTGCTACCCCTGGGTGTGTGGCTGTGGGAAAGTGTGATTTTCATTTTCCAATTGTTGTCTGTTGGGGGCAGGGTGACTTAATTGCTCATATTTCAACACAGCTGAGACTTCAACCCAGAGTAACTGATTTACTTGGGTAGAACAGAGACCAGCTGAAAATAAGACAGAGCGACTTAGCCCCCCCAAACCAAGGAAGCCCCCAGTTTCTCAGGCCATAGCGCTGATCGGGTTCTTGGTAAAGCTCTAGGAGAAAAGCCAAACGGTGTAAATTAAGCATGGGGTGGAATCAGCAGAGAAACTCCGGCAACATGAATAACCAGAGTAGATCAACCCCCCCAAGGAAGGACATGGCAGATGCAACTAAACACCCCATCCATAAATAGATGGCTGAGATGTCAGAAATCGAGTTCAGAGTCTGGATAGCAAATAAGATCAACAGAATGGAGGAAAGAAGGGTGGCAGGTTCAAACCCAGCCCTGGCCGAACTGCTAGAAAAAAATAGACGAGCATTGTGTCAGGCACCTGTAGTCCTCGCTACTCGGGAGGCTGAGGCAGGAGAATGGCCTAAGCCCAGGAACTGGAGGTTGCTGTGAGCTGTGTGACACCATGGCACTCTACTGAGAGCCATAAAGTGAGACTCTGTCTCTACAATAAATAAATAAATAAATAAATAGAAAGTCATAAGTCATCTCAGGAATCTTGGAAAAGAAGAAAGAATTTTAATGGAAGAAGAAAATAATATATACATAAAACAGAATTTTTTCCTTTTTTTTTTTTTTAAGAGACAGAGTCTCACTTTGTCACCCTTGGTAGAATGCTGGGGCATCACAGCTTACAGCACCCTCCAGCTCTTGGGCTTAGGTGATTCTCTTGCCTCGGCCTCCTGAGTAGCTGGGACTACAGGCACCTGCCTGAACGTCTGACTATTTTTTTTTTTTTTTTTGACATGGAGCCTCAAGCTGTCATCCTGAGTAGGGTGCAGTGGCATCACAGCTCACAGCAACTTCCAACTCCTGGGCTCAAGCGATTCTCCTGCCTTGGCCTGCCAAGTAGCTGGGACTACATTCACCTGCCACAGCGCCTCCTATTTTTTGGTTGCAGCCACCATTGTTTGGCCAGCTGGGCTACATTCAAACCTGCCAGGTCAGGTGTATGTGGCTGACACCTTCGCCGCTTGAGCCACAGGCAGGGAGCCTATGACCACCTATTTTTGTTGTAGCTGGCACTGCTGTTTTAGCTGGCCCAGTCTGGATTTGAACCCACTACCCTTGGTATATGCATCCAGCTCCCTACCCACTGAGCCACAGGCGCCAAAAATTCTTTTTGCCAAGAAAGTGATGTGTTAGGTGTTACACTGCTTTTTTTTTTTTTTTTGACAGTTTCATTTTGTTGCCCTGGAGTCGCCAAGACCTGCCACCTTAGCCCTGGTGGTGTTGGTGCAGCTGTAGCTGGCAGTGGAACCAGCAAGCTGAAGGAGGCAGGGCGATCCTGGGAGGCTCCAGTAGCTGGAAGGACTGGAGTGGGGGAGACACTGGTGCCTTACTGTTTCCTCCCTGTGCTCTTCTGACTGGTGAATTTTATGTGAGTTTCCAAGGCCTGGGAGTTCATTAGATAGCTGGCTATAACTGAGAAGACCTACTCCCTAAAGGTAAACATTGAGTTCTGACTAAACAATCCCCTGTGACTATATATACCCCCAAGCAGAGAGCCTGGAGAAAGACTTCAGAGAAGGAGAAAGAGAGTTTGTTTCCCACCTAGGTTCTCTCTGCCAGGAGCTTTGGTTTTTGTAGTTTTTGTCTTCTTTGTTTCTGTGAATAAATCCTATCTTACCACTGATCTGTGGTCCTTCCATTCATTCTTCAAATCTTGGAGACCAAGAACCTGAAACACTTGTATCAGTAGCAATCTCTAGCTCTTGGGTTTAGGCGATTCTCTTGCCTCAGCCTCCTGAGTAGCTGGGACTGCAGGCGCCTGCCTCAACGCCAGGCTATTTTTGTTGCAGTTGCCAGTGCTGTTTTGGTGGTGGGGTTCGAACCCACCACCCTTGGTATATGGGGCCAACGCCCTAGCCACTGAGATACAGGTACCGCCTTGCGGGTGGCACCTGAGGCTTAAGGAGTAGGGCACAAGCCCCATATACTGGAGGTGGTGGGTTCAAACCCAGCCCCAGCCAGAACCTGCAAAAAAAAAAAAAAGAAAGAAAAGGAAAAAAAAATCTTTTTGCCAGGAAAGCAATGTTAGGTGATACACTGTTTTCTTTTTCTTTTTTTTTTTTTTTAAGACTCTGTCTCACTTTGTCACCTCGGTAGAGTGCCATGTCATCACAGCTCACAGCAACCTCCAGGTCTTGGGCTTAGGTGATTCTCTTGCCTCAGCCTCCCAAGGAGCTGGGACTACAGGAGCCCACCTCAACGCCGGGCTATTTTCTTGTCGCAGTTTGGTCGGGGTGGGTTTGAACCCATCGCTCTCGGTATATGGGGCCTGCGCCCTGCTCACTGAGCCACAGGCACCATCCCTTTTTTCTTTTGTTGACAGATTTTCACTTTGTTGCCCTCGGTAGGGTGCTGCGTAGTCACAGCTCACAGCAACCTCCAACTCCTGGGCTTAGGTGATTCTTTTGCTTCAGCCTCCAGAGTAGGTGGGACTGCAGGCGCCTGCCACAATGTCCAGGATACACTGCTCTTCACAGGGACAATTACTGGGACTTTTAATGTATAATCCAGGAAGATAAAGCCATGCAGCACAGAGCAATTAGCTAGATCTAAAATCAACTGACTTCTCATCACAACTACCCTGTAAACACTGCAACCCTTTTCTGCAAAATGACCCAGAACTAATGCCACATGAAAACAATTAGCGTGGGGGTACCAGAAACCTAGCTTTGTGGCCAAAAGGAAAAATAGCAATTCAGGGTTAGCTGATGATAGCAGGAAACTCAGTGTCTCTCCCTGTGCTGCTTTGTTCTTTTTACTCTTGCTCTTTTTGTCCCTCTTCAGCCCATCCATGTTAGTTCTCAATAGGTTTGAATAAGCCATCTGAAATTGATTTCTCTTTCTTCGAACTCGCGACAGCGCTGATCTTTTTCCCATCTGTAACTCTCAAGAGATACTGGTCTGCGGGCTCAAAGTCCTCCACAGAACCTTTCTTTGGAAGGGTTTAGTTCTACCATCATACTTTTTTAAGGTGATGTACACGCTGCGCGACGCCTTGCCCTTCTGGAACGACCTGGTCAGCTCCGTCAGGAACTGCGCGCTCTTCAGGAGCACCATCACAGCGCTGACGGCTCGGCTTGGTCCGGTCCATAAAGCCAAGAAATTATAAAAGAAAAAGGGAGGTGGGGGCGACTAGCAGATAAAATTAATTAGAAAAAGGGAGGTGGGGGCGACTAGCAGTATAGAATTAATTAATTAATTAATACAGCCAATTTGCAGGAAGCGCTTCCCTGCATAAGATTCTGGGAATTGTCCAGAAGATCCACAGGGTCCGAAATTCTTACGCTCCAAGAAAGGCACCTTTAATATAGTCTCCTGGAGAAAAAATATGTATCTTTATATACATATTCAAACATATACATGTATATATGTACACACACATATATAAAATTCACAGCTTTTTTTTAGAGTGCCATGGCGTGATAGCGCAGCAATCTCAAACTCTTGTGCTCAAGCGATCTTCTTGCCTCAGTTTTTCATTTTTCATGCATGTGTGTGTGTGTGTGGGGGGGGTGTCTCCTCTTGCTCAAGCTGGTCTCGAACTCCTGAGTTCAGGCGATCCACCTGCCTCAGCCTCCCAGAGTGCTAGGATTACAGGCTGAACCACCACGCCGGCCTAATCTCACAAATTTCTGTTTGGAAACATTATGGGCCTACGAAAGTAGAGCTACAGAATTCGTTCTGCCCGACCCTCAGGTTGAGAACTATATCCAAGTCCTGGGTTTAGAAGCCGGTACTTCCTTTTTTTTTTTTTTTT